GGTCGAACACAGGCCGAGCCAGAGGCACGGCGCGGCCAAACAATGTTCGATAAGGCTGCGTACATATTAGCTCGTATAACCGTGCGTCACCCCATGACTCGAGCAACGATGTTATATTAATTAATTACGACACACTCTCTCGCGCTCGCTCTCTGTCTCGCATCATTTCTCTACGTGCTATGTGTGTCTTGTGTATGCCCGCATGATTTACATCTCGATACGCGAATTATGAATGGCACGGACATAACGGTGGACCTTTGTCTTTAAGAGGAACAAAGATTTTGGACGATTCGTTTCTTTAGGGGATATGTTGCGTCTGCTTGAACGATACGTTGTCTTTGATATTTGGATATTAGTAGCGAATACTACGAGCGTATGGAATTTATGGATAAATGGTATGTCGGAATGTTGCTATAATGATTGATCACGGATTATGATTGTTCGTAATAGTCACACGTTAAGTGTAGCTAACTATAAATCAGGAAATTCATCGTTTAAATGACAAATTCGTGATAATCGCTCATCATATACAGTTAACCATTGATTATGAGAAATTTGACCACGAAGAATAAGTTTCACGGCTTTCATCCTAATTTCTAAAGACCAAGGTTTCTTTAAATTGTATATCCGGCATTTTAAAAACGTTTGCTCCGATATATCCAAAGCCAAGGGAAATTAATGAAACGTATAAAAGTTCCAAGAGGAAACTATTGTTAATAAAATGCGCTACCTAAAATTGCTTTACCCACAGCTTCCACGGATACTTTTTCAAGAATGCAACGAAGAAAAACTTCTCGCGGTTCAGTTTAGATTTTTAAGAAACTTAATACACAGACGATGAAACAAGAAAAGTCGAATGGCGTTAAGACACACGGCGAAAAGGGTCTGAGAAGAAGACACGGGCATAAAGACGAAATCCCCCCGGGTGGTCTCGCAGATTCGTCGTCGGAGATGTTTAACGTCCCCGCGCGTTGGCGGTCACGCGTTTAATGAAAGGGCATCGTCGCGCACTTAACAGCCGCCCTCTTCGTCGCTCACAGCTGTGTAGACGAGGAGAAGACGTCGCGTCGTCTAACCTCAAGAATGGTGGAAGAGGATCGACACGGAGGACGAGACGCGGTGAAAGAGAAAGAGAAAAGAAATTGGAACGAGCGAAAGAGAACGTGCTGCACGTGTAACGAAGAAAAGAGTAAGATGTAGAAAAAAGAAGAGGAAAAGAGAAAAGAGAGATAGAGAAGGAAGGAGAACGAAAGAAAGGATAAAAAGGGGAAGGGAGAAAAAGGGCGGTGGGTGGAGCGAACGAGAAAGAGGAAGCACACGCCGCATTCGCACATTCACACTCACCTGGATACGTGCCTCAGGCAATCCAATCTTCTCAGCGAGACGCTCCCGTGCAAACACGTCCGGGTAATGTGTCCGCTCGAATTCTAAAACGAAACCAGTTTGCAACAAGTGCTCGTTATTAAACGTGCCTCCGTTGGATAGCTGGCGCGTTTCACATTGTATGTATATATATATATATATAATATATATATTCTACTATGTGCGTATGTGTAACGTATAGTATGATAAAAGAAAAATATATACACGTAGCTATACGTATAGAACTACATAATATTTGTTTGTATTCGTATATACGCTGGTGTACATACAATTTTATATTAATCGCGCATAACTTCGATTCACTGCGAGACAAGATTAAAAGGATAATTATCGACGATACTCGAACGCGAGGGCGCGACTTGAATGGCCGCGGATCCAATTAAAGCAGTCGTGCTGCTCCTGCTGGGCGTACGAAGAGAGGAAAGCCCGATATATTCGAGGAAAGCAGTAATTTACCTCGACCGTCTCTGAATATGCATGCATCGCCGCGAAACGGACGGAATATACAGAATCCCCGAGTGCGCGCGCGATCGTTCGACGTTTATATCGTTATTACCGGCTGAACGAAAATGGAGCTTTCGTCGAGGATGAGCACCGATGTTTGTTGATGTTTGTTAACGTGGAAACATGCAATTGAAAATGTACGCGCTACTATTTTTCACTATCTTCTTTTTTTCACCGGTGCTCGTAATTGTATAGCTGGATTTTCAATGATTAGAAGAGAGAACGTACGCGATTCGTAGCAATTTCAGTTTCGCTCAGAGTTTAAATTACAAATTTTGTACTCCGGTAGATGTTCCGAGAGGGTTAGCAATTTACGTTTTTCGCGGAACTAACTCGTTCATTTTTCTCTTTTCTTTTTTGAGATTTATTTAGGATATGGTGTATTTCGTGCTATTAATACCGCGTATACGTAGAACGTAGCATGTCCGTTGATAAATTGAATTTATTCTCGTGCGCTAACCTTTCTCGAGGCTGTCGATCTGCTCGTTGGAAAAGGATGTTCGGTTGCGCTGCAACTTTCGTTTTAGCCTCAGTCGAACTTGCGAGTCCTCGTCGCCGGACGAGTTGTGCTCCGAATTTCCATCTGACGTTGTTTCTTGCTGATGCGACAACAAAGAACCTGTATCTGAAAACAAATACGAAAATTCCTGTTTTACGTAACGAGCTCGAAAGACATAAAGACACTGCTCGAAATCCATAATACAAACACCTTCTTTTTGCATTCTGAAACTTCTTCTCTTTCCTCGACCAGCGCGGATAACGTCCGACTAAATTAGGGGTGGCAAGTGATTCCTCGCGCGAGAAGGAGAAAATTCGGGAAGGCAAACGGAGGAGAGAAGGATTCTCAGGACGAGATCCAATTAAGGATCGTCCTATTTCAGTATCGTTCCAGTGATTTTGCGATGGACGCGGACTAACGACGCGACGGCTCTCGACATTCCTAGAAACAACCACGAGCATACCAACGAATTAAGAATGGGACAGAAAGTGGCAGAGAGTAGCTATGGGAGAGCGGAGGCGTCTGCATAGTCGTCTCGCTCGATCATAGTGATCGTGTTGGTGCGTGTACAGGATGCTTCAGAAAATTGATGCTAAACTTTACAAGCACATAGCACTTACGAAAACAAGCAAAAAGGCTTAATATGTATAGGTCCAAATAGGACGAGGTAGGGTTGTTTCAGTCGGCAGACTATTTGAGTCGAGCGAGGTAATTTGCTTCGTCCTTCGGTAAATTTGATTATGAGAAATTTTTCGAGCGATCTACAGTCGAAAAAGAGACGCTTTAAACATAATTTTCTTCAAAAACATGCCTTGATGTTATTATAAAAGGGTTGTCCAAGCAGCTAATATTTTCAGTCGTAATTTTCGTAATTTAATAGTTCGTGTATATTCTTTTATTCCTGCAAATTATTTTGTCATATAATTTATTTAATTTTTATATATATAATCCTACCATACGCTTTTCTTGCTGAACCTGAAGTACACGATATTTTCTTATTCTTTCATCATTATGTTAAAGACTAATAGCGTAGCACAACAATTTTGACTATATCGCGCGTAGTCCAGGAGTAAATTTTAAGATATCGATGCTCACCTGACTCAAATAGGATCTACCTTATTATAAAGTTGTAGAGGATTTATCTGTTCAAATATCACTATTACAGTCTACAAATCGTGAACACTTTATTAAAGAAATACTTTAATACAAAACGCAACTCCTGGTATAATAATTTATCGAAATAAATACGCGCGCGTCGAGAAACTCCGTATACATTATGATGCGTCGATATGCTTACACTGCGATCGCTAAACTCTTCGCTCGCCAATTCGCTTGTTTATTTCTACTGGTCGGGGGACAGTCGGAAAGTTTGAACTCGACTGCGTTTGACGGTTGAAAGTAACGGCGACATTGTTTTGCTCGGAGTTCATTACACCTTGCAATATCTATGACCTAACGGTCATGATACTCCGAAACAAAACAACAATAAGATTTGAATTTATCCTGCTCGCGTGCCGCTACAAAGTCAAAATTAGGGACATTTTGACCGACGTTTATTAAGACTTTTTTTTATTTGTTTTCCTGAGTACTACATGACCCTGAAGTTTAATAGCACTTTCTGAAACGCCCTGTATGGAAACAGTCCGCTCCTCCGGTCGTCATCGTTGTCGTTGTCGTTGTCGTTGTCGTCGTTGTCGCCGTTGCCGTTGCCGTTGCCGTTGTCGTCTTCGTCTTCGTCGTCGTCGTCGCCGTTGCCGTCGTCGTCGTCGTTGTCGTCGTCAACGTTGACGGCTCCCGGTGAGCCACGATTACTTTCCGCCTCCGCGCACCGAACCCTCGCCTCTTTCCATCCCTCTCCCGATACCTTCCTGCCATTTCCCTTTCCCTCTGTCCGTGTCCGTCCCTCCGTACGCTACGTGTACCTATATATTTGCCCTTACGCTATATACATACGTATATATATGTATTTCTAAGTGTACCTATATATCGTCCGCTCGTCAGCTGCTCGCTTTCTCGTTCGCTCATCTCTCGCACATCGCGCACCCTCTATCTTCTCCACCACCGCCTCCACCACGATCCTACGAAATCTCTCGCCCACTCCTATCTCTCTAGCCCCGTGGTACCGTTCTGCCAATTCGAAATACCGCCACCTTCGAACATGCTCTGCTTCGAACCAGATTATATTCCAAAAAAGATATCTCTCTATTTTAGAGAAAATATTTTCTTCCGTTTTGAGTAAATATTATTCAATCACTGCTATTACTATTAGTACTAGACTTTACCTGGAACGAAAGTATATTTTATATTTTGTACCATTTTATTCTAATATTTTATTCTCTAAAATATTTTCTTCTTTTTCTATTTTTTTTTCTATTTTTCTGTTTCTCTATTTTTTTTTCCTTTTTAGTAATATTGAATGTGAAAAACGAGGTATAGGTGTATGTTTGTGTCAGTTTTGACAATTGTAGAAATACTACCACCCTTGCAAGTATCAACACATGACATTACTAGGGTAGAGCCCATCGCTACGACCAAACGAGAGTATATGCAATATTCCATCACATCCTCTTATATGGAATATTTTCTCCTTCTTTGACTTTAATTTTCTAGGTGACGACGCATGATTGCGAGGGGAAGAAATGGGGTGTACGGCTCGATGACCATGCGAGAAGGTTCAGTGTCGGTCTGGCTACTTTAGACTGACCAGTTTGCGTTCTTGGAAAAGCGGTTTGTAATAGAGATTTTCAAGTGTAATCCAAATGTTAGAATCACAATTGTACATGAATTTATTTAATAGGAACCAAGGGAAGATTCGTGTATTAAATTGAACACAATTTCATATTTGATTATCGAGATACTTATTCGAGTGGTTATAAGAAAGTCAGATCAAAGATGGATAAACCAGAAAGTCAGTGTTCTCGAGATAATTTACTGTTTCAATCAGCTCTAAAGCCAACTACCCAAATAATTCATCGATGAAAAAAAGATAACCTATTTTACGAACGATTTACAAAATCTGATTAATCACACCAGCCCCCACAAAATTTTATAGAACCACCAATATTGCCTTAACAATTTCAGACAGTCACGACCAAATCGCAGCAAATCACACACAGCCTACGGTATTCGTTATTAAAACAACCTTCGACCATCTCGAACTAGCTTAACAGTTTCGAGAATTTACTTATCTTGAATCGCGGTTACATTCGAAACCATCATCCGTGGAGCAATTTTGGTCATGATCAGGACCGCAAGCTCCGATTAACGTGATCCTATTAGGAGAAACGTCACGATCCAACGACACCAGGCATTTCCTTTATTCCGATACGTAAACCGATCCAATACACCGGTGGAAATACAACGGGACAATACGCAGGTTCGCGGAAAGGCTGTTAAGAACGGGACGAGGGTGTCGCGCGTACGAGCAGATTATAATACGTCGAGGGTGCTCCCTTGACTTCCACCTTGCCTCGAGACCATTGTCGATCCGCAGAAGAAGTGGATCAAGCATTGAGAGGACCTGGTTTCCTATGGCGTCTGATTCTATGGCTTTTCTCGACCGCGTGAAAGGTAAAGGAACCCCCAACGGAAGGTAACAATTCCGTTTATGAAAGGTAGAGGTATTGAAACGAGTTGTCGAAACATTTCGATTGACGAATGAATCTTAAGGGAGAAAAGAACTTTAGCTGCCGATTCTTGAGGATTTGTGGCGTAATGGGATAATTGTGAATAATAGACATTGTAAATAGAATTGGTTACATTCTTAAGTGTCTCGTGATCATTCGTATATATTTATACGTAGGATGATCGCAATAGCAACGAAAATGATACTAATAACTGATGGTTTTCGTTTGAAACAAGTCTAAATTTTGTTAAAAAGAAAGTTAGCTTAAGCTTCTATTACTTTTGAAAATTTCTTCTTCGAAGATCATTGTGGATATCATTCGCGTTAATTTCGAGTCGATTACAAAATTAATTCGGAAGATTGAGTATAAGTACGATTAAGAAGCAACTGTGAACTTTTAACCAGTACAAATTCAGTCTCGTTTTCACTTTTTGCATTATATGCACATCTTTTACATACAGTCCGTTCTAATTTTTTTTTTTTTTTTTTTTTTTT